TCATTTTTTTTATTTTATGTGGGGGGTGCACACCCGGGTGTTGGATCCGGGTGTGCACCAATCATGATCCTATTGCAAAACACAATGAAAAGCTAAGATCACAGCATCATCTCCTATAGATTGTGCAGTAGTAAGTTTGACTTGATTGTCCAAAATGAAAGCAGCTGAATTCAAATACCAGAATAACTTCACAAAATTTCTATTATTTAATGGAAAAAGAACAAGCAGCATAACTAAAAATGAACCACAGAAACAATTCTTTTAAATGCTTAGACTATATTCTTTAGACTTTGTTTATCTTAGCAGCTGATCTCAGAAATAAGAAACGATTCATGAAGATTTCATGAAGATAATACTAAAATAATGACAAAATGTAAAGATATTTACATTTTAGGATGCCTCTCTTTGTTCAACAGACTCTAAGTTTAGGATGCCTGCAGGATATACCATTGTCATCTGTAAGCAAAAATATCCAGCCGAGTAGTTAAGTAAAAATCATCAATTTTTTAAACACTTCTAGGTTAACATCTCAAGAATTTTTTTTAAAAAAAAGTCATCTTTTCACTTTTACCTGTGCATTAAAATCTGGTGTTGGATCTTGAAGTCAGGTCGGATCAGGTCAGCCAACAAAGAATAAACCAACAGATAAACTTTGGATGTACTATGCTTAAACTATTTTGGAAATCATGTACCCAACAATTACTCAAAAACTCTTAGACCATTTGAAGAACTTCTATAGAATCCATTTGCAAGTGGCAGGGTAATTATATAAGGAATCACCTGGAGTTCTGTTAATGGAGGAGTCATTATGCCAGGATTGCAGCATCAGCACACAACCCATGCATTTTAACATCCATAACTGATATGGCAATCTCCAATAAGAATTTCCCAGATCCTCTGAGCCTTTCCTCTTGGGTGTCCGGTCCCAAAACTGAGAATGTGTTCCTTATAACCATCACTGAACTCTGAAGTATGCTCTACAATACCAGAGCCAGAGGGATGGATTATTTGATTGATGCGACTTTCTTTATCTTAGCTTTTGTCCAGAAACAAGAAATGATCCATGAATATCACACTATAATAATAACAATATGTAAAGATATTTGTCATGTTTCAACAACAACTCTTAGGCTCTAGAAGCAAAATAAAACGAGCACTTACACCAGCCATAACAACAGAAGCCTCGTCTGAATATGTGTCTTGGGTCATATATCTGTTTAACAGACACTTATTAATTTTAGGATGCCTGCAGGATTCACACACCTTATATTTGTAAGCAAAAGTATCCATTGATGAGTTTACCACTAGAACAACAACTTCAACTCTAATTTATCTAAGAAAAAAAAAAATGAAAAGATGAAACTGACTGATGTCTACAGTACAAGCAAATAGAATTTAAATAAAAGTTCACGAATGAAAAATTTATGATCCACTATTACCTCCCTTCAATATATCCAACTCAGAACTTACATATGTTAATGCTAAAGCTAATTTCGTGATATTTTTTAACAAAATCCCAGCAGAAATTTACTCCTAATTTCTTGTTTATTCTTTAATTAATGCCCTCGTCTTCAAAACAATCTCTTGAATTCTAGAACAATAAAATCCCCCCAAACCATTCATGCACATTTAAAACCATTAATTTATTCCACACAGAAAATTACCATCTCAAGAAAACAGAATGTAAAACACAAAAAGAAAATTACCTGTCTAAAGTTGGTGATGGCTAGAGAATGGGCCTCCAGAGAGCAGAGGATGTCTCGGCCGTCCATCAGCTGGCACTCCTAATCCTATTCGAAATCGCTCAGCTGCGTCCGCTTTGAGACTGATTCAAAATCTCAACTGATCGGAAAATAAGGAAACGATTGGTGGGATCCACACCACATTTTAAGAAATTTTCATTTTTATTTAGTAAAACACACCGTTCAAAGGCAACCGAACCAAAAGAAGAGGATAAAATATGATATGAAGAGATTGATTGGCAAAAATCACAGAAGGATCAAATTACAGTAACAAAATACACAAGAACTGCATGTAGAGCAGATAGATCAAATCCAAAAGAAATCAACACAAATTCATACATAACCATAATTCCCACACAAGTCAATACAATTATATATCAACAATGAACTTGAAAAAGATTGAAACAAACTCAAGAAGCAACTGTTGCTAGATCTCCCGGGAGTAGGAAATCAACCGCACCTGCTTGCACCTATATAAAACAAAGCAAAAGTAGAAAAATTAAGCGTCATTGTTATATAACATGCCTTGAATTTTATGGTTAGAACTTATATAGAACACCAATATTATAGAGTTGTAGAAACTTACTCACTTAAGTGTGTTGGTTGGGTTTTTGGATTTTTCTGTGCTTATGACTTTGGTTGCACCTTCCAACTAATTTCTGTTGATATTTCTCCACTTTCTTCACTATCCACCATGGTTTTCCTATAGTGAAGGCAATGTATCCCAGACTAAGTCCCAACACCAGTCCACACCCATAGCCTGCCAAAACAAACTTCCATTCAAAGACTGCTGAAGGTGGTCCTGGTTCTTTGCATTTCTTTGTCAATGGGAATCCACACAACCCAGAGTTCCCAATGTAGGAATCATTTGAGAAAGTACTGAACTGCTTCCCTTCAGGTATGTGGCCCACAAGTTCATTGTGTGAAAGATTCAAAACTGATAGGAACGTCAACTTTGCCAATTGCTCTGGAATCCTACCTTCAAGCTTGTTTGATGAGAGATCTAATGACTCAAGCTCTGCTAGTTTCCCCAGTGATGATGGGATTTGACCGTTGAGACTATTGTGAGATAAGTTTAGCAATAAAAGTGAATTGAGTTCTCCTAGCTCTTTAGGAATTTCCCCATCGAATCGATTGCTTGAGAAATCAATGATTGTGAAAATTGTCAAGATCCTTTGAAGCTCCCTCTCTGACCCCTTTATTACTACCTTCACAGAATCCTCATAATAATCATAATAAAAATATGGAGAACCAATGTATTTCAATTTGACTTTATCAACTGGAGCTACATCTTTCATACCTTTCAAAATTTTGAAATAGTTACTTGGTAGGAGACCCATAAAATCATTCTGTGCAACATCAATGATTCTCAACTGAGGGAAGTAAGATGCAGGCATAGAATTGCTGATGGCACCATGAAATCGATTAGATCGAAGGATGAGAACTTTTAGTGATGGAAAAACACCTAACCAATGTGGAAAGGCATCATTCAAGTTGTTGTTCCCCACATCTAGAATTTCCAAGTCACTGCAATTAACCAACGACCGTGGTAGCATCCCTTCCAACTGGTTGCCATTTAGGTTGAGAGTTGTCAAGGAACTGAGGCTAACAAATACATTTGGAATCCTACCATGGAACTTATTCATCCGCAGATCCAAGACAAAGAGACTGTTCAAGGTTCCAAGACATTCGGGAATTTTTCCTCCGAAACTATTATTAGCTAATACTAGAACTCCAAGAAAAGTAAAATTACAATAAGAAGAAGGGATTTCACCAGTCAATTTATTCCCTGAAATGAGGAGAACTTGCATAGAATCCCAACTTGTTGATGGAATGGGAAGTGATCCTTGTAGTAAGTTGGATCTAAGGTCAACAGTTCGAAGATTTCCAAAACCAAATAAATCTATACCAGTCAAGAAGTTATAAGAAAGGTCTAATATAACCAATGACATTCCTTCTATTTCCCATTTGTGAATTTGACCAGAAATCTTGTTCTTAGAAATATCCAATTCTTGCAATGCCTCTGCCTTCCTTAAGAAACTTGGGAACTTGTGTATGTTGCAAGAAGAGAATCTTAAATACCTGAGGCTCGAAAGAAAGGAATAGTTGACAGTAGTGTCATTATTGCTCAAAGAAAGCAAACTATTATTGGAAAGATCCAAAACAATAAGGTTTTCAAGCTTCGAAAGCATGTCGGGTGTAATGGTGCCAGTTAAGTTATTTGAAGAAAGTTCGACTCTAATAAGACCCACAATATCAAAGAAGGAGCTAGGAATTGGACCACTTATCTCATTATTGGACAAATAGACTTCTCGCAAAATGAGATTGGGCATCTCAACATGATCAATAGGTCCAGTAAGGCAGTTGTTTTGGAGGTCTAAATAGAATAAAGAAGGCAGAGAAAACAGCCAAGATGGTACAGGGCCTATGATAAGATTATTATTTATAAGAAGCTCATAGAGAAATGTGAGTCCACTTATATGGTGAGGAAGAGAGCCTGCTAGCTTATTTGATGATAGTGACAAAAAAGTAAGATGGGTGAGGTTGAAGATTGATGGAGGAATTTCACCACCAAAACTGTTTGCATCTAAGCTCAAAGAAGTTAGCTTGTGCATTTTTCCAAAAACATCTGGTATTTGCCCTTGCAAATGGTTGGAAGAAAAATCTAGTTGAGTTATCTCTGTAAGATTTGCAAGAGATCTAGGAATTGATCCATAAAATTGGCAGCTATAAAGATACAATCCCTTTAGGAGTTTGAGATTGCCGATTGAATGAGGCAACGCTCCTGAAAAGCTTGTGTTTGCAAGATTCAAATACTTGAGGGTACTACTCTGGTTTGACTCGGGCATATTACCTCCTAAATCAGAGTTTTCGCTTAAATCAAGAAGCTGGAGAGATGGAAGCTGAAAAACTTGGTTTGGAAAGTTTCCTTGCAAATTACAATCGCAAAGGCCCAAATGCTCCAAGGAAGAAGTCAAGTTTAGCAAGGAAGATGGCACAACCAAAGACATATTCACAAAATCAAGGATAAGAAACCTTAATTCTGTTAAGTTATGCACAAGCATTTGAAGCTTTATGTTGTCAAGAAGCAAACCAACATTATCAGAGAGATCGAGTGAAACCAATTTCGATAGCAAGAAGATCTCATCAAACAGGAGAGAGCCATCCATGTATGTTGAACCTGCAAGGTTAAAGATTTGTCACATTAGAAGAAGTGAAACCAGTTTTGGAAGCATGGAGATTTTAAACAAAAGAAAAAGAAATGAAATATCGTACGTGAAAGATTAAGATATGTCAAACTCTTCCAACGGTGGAACCCAAAAGAGAGATTGGCGTAGCTAAAATCGTTGTAAGCAAGGTTGAGGCTCTGCAATTTCTCAAGGTGGAAGAGACTACTATTTGTAGTTAGATTGGCTTCAAGACAATTACTGCTAAGATCAAGGCCAATCACGTGACCTTTCACCTTGTCGCATGTGATGCCCTCCCACAAGCAGCAGTCTTTACTCTCGTTCCAAGTTTGTATTATAGGACGAGGAGTGCCAAAATAGATCCCACGAATACAGTATTTCCCCAATTTAGTAGTGCTTTTGAAATCAAGCAATGCAGAACGCTCTTCAGGACGGCACAAATGTGGTGATGAATCGGAAGAAGATTGAGAAGGTGAGGAGCTTTGGACTCGAAACTGTAACAACATGAAGGAAAGGCAGAGGATTTGGGAAAACCTTATTAAACTTGCCATTTTCTTAAAGATGAACACAAGTCGGGAAACAAAGGAGTGATGGATTATTCAAAATTGAAGTGCTGGACACCAATATTTATCGTCTTCCCAAAAGTGAAAGTCCTTCAACTTTTTTTTTTAAGTTACATGTAAATTTCTCTAGCAGGTGAAATTTTTTCTATTATTTTTTATAAAAAAAAAAGTGTTCACACAATTAAACTTTCTTTTATATAATTTAACAAAACTGCACTAGTAGTCGAACCTGACCCGTGGGCTAAATAGTTTTGACCACTCTTGTAAGGTTCATATCATCTTTTTTAAAAGTAATAATTCGAAACCAACCATGAACAAAATGTTCAAAAAAAAACTGCACTAGTAGTCGTTAGTGATTTGGTACACATATTTAATATTTTAATAATAATTAAAATTTAAATTAAAATACAATTATATTATAATTTTTCATTTTTATTTTTAAATTGTTTCTATTAAAAAAATTATTTTTGATTGTACACATAATTAAACTTTTTTTTATTGTTAGTACACATAATTATGGGTCTTAAATAAAAAGTATTAATTATTTAAATAATATATAAAATTATATTAAAAATATGAAAAATTATTTTTAAATTATTTTTTATAACTTTTTATCAATAAATACTTGATTGAGTAAATATTTATTAATTTAAATTTTTAATTTAAAATTAAAGTGAAAATTTAAAATTTTATATTACTAAATAACTAACTATGTTAAAATAAAAAACTATTTAATAACTTTAATTCCGTTAAGCTTTTTTTTAAGTTCACTGCGATCACTATTAGAACCAAAAATTAAACGTATAGATAGGATCAAAATTGCACCGTCTTTCAAGTTACAAAATTTCTCATCTTTTTAAAGTTGAATATGAAAATTCATTCATATAAACATAAAAGATACAGGGCTCGAGCAAACTGAACCTTAATGCCTTATGGAAGTTAATAATACAAAAGCGGCATCAACCCAAACATATTGTTAAGGTTCAACATTCCTCCTAGTAAATCAAAAAATAAATAAAGAAGTAAAAAAAGAAAAAGAAAAAGAAAAATAGAGTAACTTTAGTCGAGACAAATAAAGAAAAAAAAAAAGGAAGACGAACAAAAATCTTAGGAATTATTGAATTCGGAAGATTGCTTTAATAATTACATATTACAATAATATAATAGAAGACAACTTCAGTAAAAGCATTATATTTTTCTTTATAACAACTGATGAAACTTTTATTGGTTTATAGAGAAGTAAGCGTGCAAATAAAGATATCAACTTTTAAATTTTTTTAGTTAAGGATTAATTGAATGGTGGTATTGATGTGACTAACGTATTTTTTTAAGTTAAATACCTTAATTGGTCCCTCAACTTTTCTTTTTGAATCAATTCATCCTTGAACTTTAGAAAGTACTAAAAACATCCTTCAACCTCAATTTTCAACACCAATTTCGTCTTTCCGTTAGTTAAATGCTGATGTAGCGAATTTTTCTGCTAAGTGATTGACTATCTTACATTTTCAATATTAGGTGGAAAATCCATCATGTAAAAGATGATTATGTGAATTTTTTTAATTTTAAATAATTTAAAAACTACTTTAATTCTTAATT